AAAAAGAGAAGGGGGGGTGTTCAGGGATGGGCACCCCAGAACTGGGGGGTGGAGGTTGGGGGGGGCACCCCCAGTGCCAGGAGGCAGCAGTGTTGGGGACACCATGAGTTGGGCAATGGGATGGGCTGGTGTGGGGCACCCCCCCTTCTCCCCCCACCCCAGGCTCTGGGACCCCACAGGTGGTGGGATCACTGGGATTGGGCGCTGGGACCTACTGGGACCCCCATGTGTTGGGCATCTCTTGGTGTGGGGTACCCACCGCCCGGGCATTGGGACCCCAGAGGTGGTGGGATCACTGGGATTGGGCACTGGGACCCACTGGGAGCCCCATGTGTCGGGCACTGGGACCTCTTGGGGTGGGGCAACCTGGGCACTGGGACCTACTGGAACCCCCATGTATTGGGCACTGGCACCTCTTGGTGTGGGGTACCCCCCCCAGGCATTGGGACCCCACAGGTGGTGGGATCACTGGGATTGGGCACTGGGACCCACTGGGAACCCCACGTGTTGGGCACTGGGACCTGTTGGGGTGGGGCAACCTGGGCACTGGGACTCACTGGGACCCCCATGCATTGGGCATTGGGCACCTCTTGGTGTGGGGTACCCCCCCCGGGCATTGGGACCCCACAGGTGGTGGGACCACTGGGATTGGGCACTGGGACCCCCATGTGTTGGGCACCTGTTGGGATGGGGCAACCTGGGCACTGGGACCCACCATGGTGGACATCAGGACCTACTGGTGCTGGGCACCCCCCTGGGCATCAGTTACTGGGATCCATGGGCACTGGGACCCACACGTGTAGGACCCCTGGGCACTGGGCACCAGGTTCGGTGGGTGATGGATACCCTGGGCACTGGGACCTGCTCCCATGGGGCACCCCTGGCACTAGGAACTGGGGGACCCATCCATACTGGGACCTGTTGGTGCTGGGCATCACCGGGACCCACCAGGAGTGACCACCCTAGGCACTGGGATTGGCACCTTTGGGCACCACACACCAGGACGCACCAGTATTGGGCACTGGGACCCACCAGTGATGGGGACAGGGACCCACGGGTGGCACAGGCACCGAGCACCAGCACCCACCAGTGTTGGGCACCAGGACCTACTGGATTTGGACACCCCATGCATGGATGCTGGGCACCCACGGGCACTGGGACCCACAGGTATTGACCACTGGGACCCATGGGCGTTGGCACCTTGGTTGTCAAGCACCAGGACACCTCTTGGGTGCCACCATGGGCACTGGGGTTGGTGGGACCGGGCACCTAGAACTATTGGATTTGGACACCCCATGCATAGATACTGGGCACGCACTGGGACCCATGGGTATTGACCACTGGGACCCACAGAAGGACCTACTGGATTTGGACACCCCATGCATGGATGCTGGGCACCCACGGGCACTGGGACCCACAGGTATTGACCACTGGGACCCATGGGCGTTGGCACCTTGGTTGTCAAGCACCAGGACACCTCTTGGGTGCCATCATGGGCACCGGGGTTGGTGGGACCTGGCACCTAGACCTACTGGATTTGGACACCCCAGACATGGATGCTGGGCACCCACAGGCACTGGGACCCATGGGCATTGACACCCTATGCTGGGCACCCACGGGCACTGGGACCCACGGGCATTGACGCCCTGGCTATCAAGCACCAGGACACCTCTTGGGTGCCACCAGGGGCACTGGGGGTTGGTGGGACCTGGCACCTACGAGTTTTGGGTACCTCAGGATGTTCTCGATGCAGCTGCGCTGGCGGAAGAGGGCGTTGACGACGGGGGTGCCCTCGGGCACCAGGGGGGCCTTGCAGAGGAAGGCGACGATGGAGAGGACGCTGTGGAAACCCTGGAACTCGGGGTCGGCCTCGGTGCAGAAGGTGACGCGTTGGCACAGCTCGGTGAGGATGGCCAGGTCCAGGATGATGGGGCTGGCCAGCAGCGAGTCCTGTGGGCACCAAGGGGCGAGGAGGAGGAGGAGGTGGGGAGGAAGATGTGTGGATGAGTCACCTCTCGGGGGACGTGCCACCCTCGGGGACACCCCGGTCACCCCCCTGCCCCACCACGCACCTCGCAGGTGTTGTGGATGACGATGGTGTTGGTGCCACCCATCATGATCTCCGACGTGTACTCGTCCAGCGCCCGCTTGCTGTCCCCCACGTAGGGCACGTACTTGATCACCACCTGCAGAGCGATGTCCCCGTCACCCCCATGGCCATCGTGTCCCCAAGCTTCCCCCCTGTCGTCCCCCCCCGAGCCCCCAACTCACGCAGTGGTCGGGCTTGTCCTGGGGACCGTAGAGGATGGGGTTGGCCTGGACGGTGTCGTCCACCACGTTGCTCTTGGAGATCTCCTTGGAGCGGAACTGCTGGGGGGCTGAGAGGTTCTTCCCATCGTTGTTCCCCAGGTGGTTGTAGCTCACGATGGACTTGGTCTGGGCAAGGAGGGGAGGGTGGGTCACCCCCTGTCACCCCACCACCATCACAGGTGGGTGCCCACCCCACCTCAACCCCGTTCCACCCCATCCCTACGTACCTTGAGTCCGGCACCCACCAAGAAGTCCACCAGCACCGACTTGAGCTTGGTCTGACCCGACTTGAAGTCATCACCACAGATGAAGACGCGGCGCTGGGCGGCCAGTTCCACCGCCCCCGGCACGAAGGTGTTCTGGGGGGAGCCGTTGATGTAGGCACAGCCCTCCAGGATGCTGGCCACGGCGAAGAGGGTGGACGGAGACACCTCCAGACCTCGCTGTGGGGACAACGGGGTGGCTCAGCGCTAGGCAGGGCGGTGGTGGTGTCACCTCCCAACCCCCCCAGAAGTCCCCTGTCCCCTGACCTCGATGGCCCGCAGCAGGTTGTCGGCGGTGTCGTTGAGCCCCGGCACGACGTCGCAGAAGCGCTCCGTGTTGGCCGTCCAGAGGACGATGACTTTGTCCACCCCGCTGGTCTCCTTGAAGTCCCGGATGTCCCTACGGATCTGCTCCATCTGGGATGCCACCAAGGGGGAAGGATCAGCACGGTCCCCCCTCCCCGTCACCAATGTCCCCACCACCACTGCCCCACCAGGACCTGCTCAGCCATGGACCCGTGGAGGACGTTGTCCGCTCGCTCCTCCTGGTTGGCGGCGATGAACTCGGGGATGTAGATGGAGGGTCGGGGCTTCATCTTCTCCAGGTGGGGCCAGAGCTGCTCCTGCAGCGGCCAGTCCAGCACCTCCGCCCGCTGCATGGCCTCCGCCAGGTTCAGCGAGGAGATGTCCCAGCCTGGGGGACAAGGGGTGACCAACCTGCTCAGGGTTCCCCCCCCAGCCCCATCGCAGGTCCTTCCCCCCCAGTGTCCCACCTACCATCGAAGACGATGTCGTTGGGGTGCACCATGGGCAGCAGGTCACGGAAGGGCACGTAGACATCACCGGTGGGGCCGGTGCCCAGGCAGACGGTGGAGGCTTGGAGCAGGGAGCCGTAGTAGTTGGCTTTCTGGGATGGATGGAGAGCACCAGGATGAGCCACCACCACCACCACCACAGGGGGGGGGTCCCCAGCACCCCAAAATTGGGGTGCCAGAGCTACAGAACACCTCCACAGGAGCAAGGAGATGGGGGTGCAGGATCTACGGGTCCTAGGACACCCACCTTGCGCCCCGTCTTGGTCATCCAGGACAAGCCCAGCTTGTTGGCCAACACGGCCGCCGTCACCGTCGTGCCGTTGTTGCCCCCCCAACCCACCAGCATCACCCCCAAACGCGGGACCTGCCGCGCCGTCCGGAAGGTGAACCGGGTGGAGCAGGGCCGTACCTGCAAGGACGTAGAGATGGAGGGACACCACGGGGACGAGCAGAACCCACCACCAAGTTCTCCACCCCCAAACCCCCCAATTTCGTGACCCCCCCACCCCGAGGGTCCCCTACCTTGGTGACGCCGTTCTCCTTGCAGACGTGCACGGTGCTGTACGTGTACTTGGCCTCGATGAAGTCCTTGCTGTACGTGACGTCGGGGCTCTCCACAAGGAATGTCTCTGCCATTGTTCCCGGAGCTGGAATAGGAGGAAATGGGTGTCAGCCCCGCAGGCCTGGCACGGCCGAGCCCCCCCATCGCCCCCCCCTTCCTCCTCCTCCTCCTTCT